GTTTAATTTAATTACTTTGTTTATATTGTGTAATTTTTATTAACGAATTACGTAATTTGATTTTTTTATTTTTTTTTATTTTTTAAATTTTTAATTTTATTTTATAATTAGTTTAATTATTATTAATGAGTTACGTAATTTGATTTTAATTTTTTACATTTTTTACATTTTTTAAATTTTAAAATTTTTTAAAATTGTTAATTTTTATTTTTAAATTTGTTTATTTGTTTATTTGTTTATTTGTTTGAAATTCCTTTTATTTCTTTTCTTTGTATGTTGCTTTAAAATAAAAGACTAACACTACGAACGTGTACCGAAAATAGAACATTCATTAAAGATAACGATCAGCCACACCTGTTACTTATCGATCCGCGATCCTTTTTTTTTGACACGCGCCGCATAGTGATTGATGGGTTTTTTCTCGATCGCAGCTACAGGCCCATCAACATAATAGCCCACCTAATTAATTTGGTCACGCATCATGGATTTATGTCGAGTTCGCGGAAGCGAAAACCGCAGGGGTCCGGTGTTTAATGGGAAGCCATTAAGTCCCTCTCCGCGTTAAGTGTGGCGACAGCTGGTCCCGTGCTTTCCACTAACAGTTATACGCGCAGTATCATAGGTTTTTTTTTTTTTTTGATCGAGTAAAGAAATAGTATTGATCGACCTGTGTATCCATTAACCAGCTGTGCAACAGCTGTTGCGCGACCACAGCATAGGATCTGGTAATTATCGCGAAGCCATTAAGTGCTTCTTACCGCGCACCATAGGGGGGTATGGTGGTAGACTAGAGCTGTCCATGAACTAGGTTCACATATCGTACTCCCGGTCATTCTTTGATCAAATTAAAATTTTTGTTTCCACATGTCCTACGAACCGTCCCTTGCTATGTATGAAAGATTAATGATTGTAACTATTCGCTTATAGCGAGGGTCAGCGAAAACAAAATATTTTTAAGGGTCGGAATTTTCTTTCAACCACCATTAGTTCAGGTTTTGAGACGAAACGAAGTCTCGCTAGGTTCGTGTTTTTAATAGGCGACAGGGCGACTTAGTGCGTTGGTACGTGAGGTATGCGGGGGTAGACATGTTTTTTACAAGTCTGGAAAAGTAATTAAGTTTTTTTTTTATGACCGTTCCGATTTTCTTTTGATCTGACCACCAACTGGCCACCCTGAGACAGATAAACTTAACAAGTGTTCAATACATATTCGATTATAGTAATATGGGTGAGGGGTGTAAGCAGGCGGTTTGTTGAAAACAAACACCGTCCCACTCTAGTGTAAACTCTAACTCTATAAATGTCAAAACAAATACATAATTACCCAAGAATAAAATGAAATTGTTTAACACTATTCGTGTTTTCAAAATGTTTTTGTCTATAATCAGAATTAAATATATCGTCATCATAAATGCTAAAGTATTACAGCATAATGAAAGTTTTTGAAATCGGAGTTGGTATAAAAGCACGCTTTTCGATATAATAGTAAGACATTCGGAATAATAGCCTTCACTTAACTAAATATCGTTCTTTAAGTTCAGATCATATGTTTTTTAATTTACTACTGCTTCTTTGTTTTCTTTAAAGATCATTTTTTTTAACATAGTGATAGGTATGGGTTAGATCACTGTATTGCTCACACACCTTTTTACTGATAATTGCAAAAACAATATTCACAGAGTTTTACGTTTAAAAAGCTAATTTTCGGGCGGCATGGTACTTTGGTACATCATTACGCGTTTTCCCAAGTGTACTTAACAGATGTTCGGGGTGGGTTGGGGGGGGGGGGGTGGTAGGTTCAACTTCATTCACCACTGTTAGGTCACTTTAGGTCAATTAACCAACCCAGTTTATACCTAGGTGTGACATTAATGTCGCTCTACACCATTGTGGTGGTGAGGTGTGACGGGGGTGGGGGGGGGGGGGGGAAGGTAACAAACTCAGAGTGAACATAGCGCCAGATTTTAGATGACTGTTCTAAACATATATATATATATATATATATATATATATATATATATATATATATATATATATATATATATATATATATATATATATATATATATATATATATATATATATATGTTTATATATATATATATGTATATGTATATATATATATATATATATATTATGACAATATTTTTTTTTTACAGAGGGGTCCATGGGGGAGGGGGGTTGTAACTATTTCATATAATTTGTAATCGTAATCATTATCGCCCAAACTTTAAGAATACCACTACTTCATCGTGATGACGTTGTTGACCGTGTCAAAATTTCCCCACTGCTACGCAGCTTGCCCATAAGTAAATTTAAATAGAGGTGCCACATCAGGCGTATTTGCTTCTGTATTGTACTTTTTTTAAAAATTAATCACACGATTCAAACTGTATATATAAAGTAATTATATGTGAAGTTTTATGTATAACATTGTCTAATGCAATTATTCGTAAGCAAATACATTATACAGTTGCCTTAAACTTAACACCCCTCTTGCCAAGTGGTACTACCCGTAGAGGTTTTTTAAACATTGCAATGCATCGTAATGGTTATTTTTAGGATGTCAAACTGAAGCAGCTGTTAATACGTGATGTAAACGTAGACACTACTAGACTAGTACAATAATGCTTAATTGCTGCATGAAAATACTTGTTGTGATTTACATAGATGTGCCGACCAAAAATAATTTTTTAACAAATATCATTGTTTAAAACTTTGAGTTTAAAAAGTTTCCAAAAAGGCGTCACTTTGCTGAAAATGGCCAGAGGGGGAGCGGCTGCTCCCCCTGCTCCCCCACCCCCCCCCCCCCCCCCCCCTGCGTACGCTACTGCACAGTTCACAGCGGTTTGCTCTCGTCTTTTGTTGGAGTCAAAATATCTCGCACGTGGAACTTTTTTGTTAAGGGAAAAACAAATGTTGAGTTTTTTCAAGGGAGATAATTATAAAATTAAACGATAACAAGAAATGGAAAAAAATAATAATATATGTTAAAGCAAACACAAGTAAACACTTATTAGTATAAATCATAGAAAATTAAAGTTAAAAAAGGTATTTAAAACCTTTGGTGAATAATAACAAAATGTTAATTACAACTCCTAGTAATTTTTAGTTGTTAATCGAATAATTAGATATTACTTATCAGAGGCGTATCCAGGTTTTTATTGTAGGGGGAGCAAAAAGAGCAAAAAAAGGCGCCGAATTTTTACACGTTATGTATACGTGTATTTTATATATATATATATATATATATATATATATATATATATATATATATATATATATATATATATATATATATATATATATATATATATATAAATAAATAAGTAGCAGTGGTATTATGACAATATTTTTTTTACAGAGGGGTCCATGGGGGACGTGGGTTGTAGTTGTAACTGTTTTATATAATTTGTAATCGTAATCACTATCGCCCAAACTGTAAGAATACTACTACGTTTTTGACCTTGTGAAAATTTCCCCACCACTACTCAGTTTGCCCATAAGTAAATTTAAATAGAGGTGCCACGTCAGTTGTAATTGCGTCTGTATTGTTATTTTTTTTTAATTAATCACACGATTCAAACTGTATATATAAAGTAATTATGTATGAAGTTTTATGTATAACATTTTCTAATTCAATTATTCGTAAGCAAATACATTATACAGTTGCCTTAAACTTAACACCCCTCTTGCCAAGTGGTACTACCGTAGAGGTTTTTTAAACATTGCAATGCATCGTAATGGTTATTTTTAGAATGGCAAACTGATGCAGCTATCAATACGTATTGTAAACGTAGACACTAATAGACTAGTACACTAATGCTTAATTGCTGCATGAAAAGAAATCTTGTGATTTACATACATGTGCCGACCAAAAATATTTTTTAACAAATATCATTGTTTAAAACTTTGAGTTTAAAAAGTTTCCAAAAAGGCGCCTATTTGCTGAAAATGGCCAGAGGGGGAGCGGCCGCTCCCCCTGCTCCCCCCCTGCGTGCGCTACTGTTTCTTATAATAAACTAACTTTATTATTAATACCGAGAAAACTCTTCATGCATAGTTTAGTGTTATTTTGTGCAGTTTAAAATATGATTATTTGCGTGAAGCTTCTATATATTTTGCGCAGTTGCGGTACAATAGCCAATGAGGTTTTACCGAGGCGTGGTTATGTTACATACAGAATAGAACTTTATATATTAGCCTAATACAGTAAATCGAGTAAATATTTCGCCTTTTACTAAAGATTTCCGATACTCTAACATCCTATAATGTCATCTCCTCATAAGATGTCATACGCAGGTATTGTCAGCGTCAACAAAGGGGTTGCGCCCTTGGGTGCTCCCCCTGGGTCGAGAGACTTGGGGAGGAGCAACCCGGACTACGGTTCGGGTGGCTTAATGAAATCCTTGGCCCAACCCTTTTTAGCCACAACTGCCACTTTGGATGTACCAGATGAAGATTGCCCAGAACTATACCCAGTTGATACACCTACCATCCAAATGCGAATCTCATCAAGAGGCCATCCCAACCTACGGGGTCACATCCTAAGGCAAATCATAAGCAACGAACAAATCTTGCTGCTAAACTACGGGCGAGCTGACACTTGGTTTTTCTCATCAACAGCATTTGACGTCACCACGCTTCATAATACACACAAAATACACGTCCCATACACACTGCATTTCACACTACACGAAAAAGACAGAATAAACGGAACCCTTAGATGCTTACCCCCCACACTCAGCGATCACACATTCATACAAGCACTACAGCCTTACAGCAGCAAAGAACCAATCATAACCACAATTCCTCACACCAGTAATCGCAACTTCTCCATACACACTGACAATCCAACAAACATCCCTCACTACATTCAAATAAATTACAAAAACAAACCCCTCAACATCCTAGTAGCCATCAATGGAAGAAAACAAGCCTGACAAACCTGCTCGTCAACCCTGCACTGGACCAGTCACTGTCCAAAATCCAATATACACATGACAGCACCACAGAAACAAGTCACGCATGCACAGCAGCAAACAACAGAGCCCCCTAAGCCGACTTCAGATTCAACACCTTATGCGCCCCTGACAACATCACAGGAACCAGCACCAACCACACCGCAGGCCCTAGAACCGATGGAAAACCAGACAACCCTAAACACGACTACAACAAACAGTCAACCAACCAGCCCCCACAAATCGCCTAGTAAGCCAACAACCTCCAATACAAGCATGACGAAATCGCCAACCATCAAAACAACTGCACCAAAAATCCTCATACCAAACTTTGCTGCATCATCCTCGCTGAGCCCAAACTCTTTCAAGTTTACAGCGACGCCAACCTCTACAATTAACAACCCCAGCCTAAATGTGGAAATGAGCGACGGCACAAACTCAAAAAGAAAAAAAGAACACAGCCCTACAGACGCGAAGCAGTCGACAAAAAATCTAAAAACCCAAAAATCGGGATATAACAGCAAAAGATGCAGATTTTGCACTCAGAAATACAAATCAATCGAAGATAGGCAAGAACACGAGGTTTCAGCACACCAGGAACTCTTAATGTGTCACATATGCAACAGCGAGTGTGGATACATGGACATATCCCAGCACTACAAAGAGTACCATCCCGACGAAACTACGTATATCTGCCACCATTGCAGAATATGCCTCCCTCTAAAGGGTATGAAGGTTCACACAAAGAATCATCATCCGTGAGTTAAATAAATCGCCCAACATAGAGTATCAAATGAAAACTTAATTAACACTTAGTAACTTTAGACTTTGTATAACTTTGTATAAGGGAACTTAAATATATACGTTTTGTATTAGATACGTACTATAACTTGTATAATATGTATGTATATGCTCATGTAAACCTGCTCTTGCTGCCTACCCTTGCTCGAGTGGGAAAGCAGCAAGAGAGGAACAATATTAAACTCATAAAAAAAAATGTATTTACTGAAAAATCTGTATAACTCAGACCACCCATGTCTTGTGACCGATTGGTATAAAAACAAGATGGCCGAAACCAGACAGGCAAGACTTTCAAAATACCTTATCTGGCCTTCGCTCTGTCCTGTAGATAACACGGACACCACGCAAACAACCAGCTGGCCTGTGTCAACACCCGTAACAGATACATATTCAAATGAAACTGTAAATGTTCTTCAAAGTGGGAGAAAAACCGGAGATGTGTCACAAAAGGAGAGACCTAACCCTGTACCTGTAAGTACACTCTTCAAAAAAATCATGCTTTCGGGGACCGCACCTGGGCGGTATCCCAAAAACACGCTATGTGTGTTGATTAAAGGAAAAAAGGAACGTCGAATCGACGAATTCATATTAGAGGACCGATTTACGTGTAAACTGAACGTAAACCGTTCTCAAATTCTTAATGTCTACAACTTGGGGAAACCAAGCGAATGGTTTATCTCTTTCGAATCAGAAGAAATTTACAACTCGCTACAATTGGCAGTGATATGTGAACATTCGGATTATTGTAGCAGCATTTTGCTGCTGCATGTGTACAAAACGGTCAGAGGGGTCACCCAAAATGGGTACCCCCTACCATTACCCAGAATATGATCAACAAAATTATGATTGAAATATCAGAACCAGACACAATAGTTTCAACCCTTAAGATCGGGAAAAGTGATAATGGGGAAAGTCGATTTCTGTCCAAACGTTCCTTTAAAGGATTTACCCCATTACATTGATCTTGAGATCAGTGTGGAAACTTACACCTTGTTACTACAACATAACGGTAGAAGATCTATATGCCCCCTGTGTGGCACGACCAAACACGGACCGGATATCTGCCGAAACTCGTAAGTAAATGAACGATACAATATATCGATAGATAATGACGGGAACTTTTTCGACAATGTTAAGTATTGTAGCTTGAAAAGTGTACTCTTACTTTTGTAATTTAGCGCTTGTGAAAGCTCGTTAATATATAGGTTATAAAACATGCTTTTTCCCTACTATTCAGTCTTAGATGAAGAAATAACCAAAGCATCGTTATACAAATGACGCAATCCGTCACATTGTCACATGATCCGGAGGTCGATTAAACCACACCCAGAAGGACAACTCCCCCACCCCCACTAATCTTAACACCCCCACTCAACTTATTCACAGTAAACCCAATCACACGTAGATTTATTTATATATACAAAAACACTCAAATTACTTCCTTTTTCTACACTACAACACAATATACTCATTTCTCCCACACCTAATTCTCCCACACAAAATTGTCCCGCACTAAATTCTCCCTCTCTAAACTCCCCCACACAAAATTTCCCACACTAAATTCTCGCACACTAAATTCTCCCACACAAAATTTTACCACACTAAACTCTCCCACACTAAAAATCTCCCAAAGCTAAACTCGATACAAAAATAGTCTCTACCAAAATCACCCAAACATTCAATTCCCCCTCACTAGATTCCATCACACACCTCCTCCCCCCTCCCCATATGGAACTAAACATTGACACAGAATATTAGTGTTAGTCACGAGAGTGCACCATGGTGTAACACAGGGGTCGGCAACCTTTTGAGACGGAAGAGCCAAAAGCTGCAATTTACAAAATTTCCCAGTTTTAAAGAGCCACACACATTTTTTATTTCAATATTATGATATTTTATTAGGTTTATATATATATATATATATATATATATATATATATATATATATATATATATATATATATATATATATATATATATATACATATATATATATATATATATATATATATATATATATATATATATATATATATATATATATATATATATATATATAATAGAAAGTACTTTGAAATAGGGAGTAAATAAATATTCTAATATAATAACGAGTGTTTATTGTTTATATTTATTATTATATCATTCATCACCGAATGCTGTAGAACAATGTTTTTAATTTTCGAAAATAAAATAATTATTAATATTTGTGCATGGAGCTGAAGAGCCGCATCTTGACATCAAAAGAGCCGCATGCGGCTCGCGAGCCGCAGGTTGCCGACCCCTGGTGTAACACAGTTAACAGCGGTGTTTGAACTCGTCTTTTGCTTGAGTCAAAATATCTCGCGCGTGGAACTTTTTTGATAAGGGAGAAAACAAATATTGAATTTTTGTTCAAGGGAGATAATTATTAAATTAAATGATAAAAAGAAATGGAAAAAATAATAAAATACATTTAAGCAAAATCAAGTAAACAAATATTAGTATAAATTATAAACAATTAAAATCTAAAAAATGTATTAAAAACCTTTGGTGATTTTTCTATTTTTTAAAATAACAACTCCCAGTAATTATTAGTTGTTAGTCTAATAATCAGAAATTACTTATATCAACCAACTTTAATATTAATACCGAGAAACCTCTTCAAGCGTTACTTTTTGGACTACATTTATTGCTGGATATTTTTTATTCGCTTCTCGGCCTTTAGGCTAAGACAGGGGTTGGCAACATGCGGCTCGCGAGCCGCGTTCGGCTCTTTTGATGTCAGGATGCGGCTATTCTGCTCCATGCACAAATATTAATAATTATTTTATTTTCGAAACTCTTAAAAATATTGTTCTGCAACATTAGGTGATGAACGATAGGCCTATAATAATAAATATAAACAATAAACACTCGCCATTCTGTTTGAATATTTGGTTAATTCCTATTTTAATGTAGGGCCCTACTTCCTATTAAATTGTCCATCCCGAATCGAAATATTCAACTTCATGGTGGATATTACAAAGAAACTAAAAGAGCTAAATGTAAAACTGCAAGGACAGGAAAACCCAGCCTATGAGTTGCTTGAAAAAGTTGATTGTTTCGAAAAAAAAACTTTTTTGATGAAATCACAGAGAGCGATACATTACTTAATTTTGATAAATTTGAAAAAAAAAATATTATGCTACTTTTAACATGAATTGCTTAGACATTACAATAAACAAAATGAATGATAGATTCCTGAGTGATTTGAGCAATTCGAAACAAATGCAAGTACTTTGACGTACATAGTAGATCGTCTTAACACAAAAACAAATGCGATCAACATTGAGCCAATTGGAATGGATGCTGATTTGCTTCAAATGAAATGGCTGGATTTGAAAACCAAACATTTCACGGAACTCAGGAGAAAGTTAGAAGATTTGGAGATCCAGAAAAACGCGCACGTTTCGCTGCACAACTGGACAGCTCTAACATAAATGCCTCGAGTTTAGGCACTATTATGTGACGCATGGAATATTCTCCCAAGATACTACAATGAGGTAAAGAAGTTAGCATTTGGAGTGCTGACGATCTTCGGGTCACTATATTTATGCGAGCGGGCGTTTTTTTTTTTTTTGCATGAATAAAATAAAAGTAAAAAAGCCAACCAGTGTTTCTTCCGGGCATTTCTTGAGAGGGGCTCCCTCCCCGGACGAAATTGACTTTATATAGAAAATATATACTTTTAACAGTGTCCTTAAAGGAAATTTTAGTCCGTCCCCCGCGAAAATTTTTAGTGCTCCCCCCCCCCCCCCCCCCTTGGAGATAAAAGTCTGGAAGAAACACTGAAGCAAACTAACAAATAAAAAAATCTTAAGGCGTGATTGAAACTGAAAACAAGTTATGAGCCAGGTTTAAACAAACTTTCAAAAAGCTTGCAAGGTCAAACTATAATTGTAAATATTATTCAATAATTATTGTGATATAATTTGATTACTGATTTTATTATTCTAGCAGAGCTGGTTAAAATACTTAAATATGTTTTGTGCTAATCATGTGTATGTTTTTATATGAATAAATATTATTCCATATTAAAAGCTATTTATTTTAAATTATATATAGGCCTATATATATATATATATATATATATATATATATATATATATATATATATATATATATATATATATATATATATATATATATATATATATATATATTCCTAATAAAATATCATAATATTGAAATAAAAAAGGCGGCTCTTTAAAAACTGGGAAATTTTATAAACTGCGACTTTTGGCTCTTCCGTCTCAAAAGGTTGCCGACCCTGACTTATAGCAATTGCTGGAAGAAGGCAGGTGTGCCAATTCTGCTCCTCAACTCTACACTTGTCCAACCAATACCAAGCTTTCAGCCCAGAGTCAACGCCCAAGGACCAACCTTCAGCACAAAATACTGCGCCACCTGCACAACAAGCTCCATCATCAAGCAAAATCCAAAACTCTCCAACCAATGACGCAGCACAAGACCCAGAGACAAAAGCAACAGACCCGGATTCAGAAATAGAAACCGCTTCGTCAACAAAAAGGAAAAATCAAACGAGTTCCACAGAACAAGAAAAAATAACTAAATCCAAAAAAATCGAGAAACTAATCCACGATCACCTAACATGCAGCTTCTGCCCCAGCTCGTACCAAACGGTTAAGGAAGTACTAAATCACGAAAGAACAGAACACACTTATCTCAAACAATGCAACTTCTGTAATGATGCAAAAACCCACAATGACTTACATCGATACTACACGGAAAAACACACCAGCGAAACTAACTTCAGTTGCTGCTTTTGTGATAAAAACCTCCCAGAAAAAAGCATTCATCATCACGTACTAGCTCACCATTCAAATCTCTTGTCTCAGAAAGAAAGGGCGAGAGAAAGCCATAAGGTAAAAGAGTACAGTTTCACAGTTCAGAAGGGAAAGAAGTAGTCAATTAAAAATTTA